GAGAAACCACGCATAACCAGCCAGTTCTGCTTCTGACGCAAAGTTGTGCGGTTGACATGTCGGTTGGTTTGGGGCTGTTTCTATGCGCTCCTTGGCGTGGTTCCTGCTGCAATGATGAGCACTGTGCCGCTCCAGTCTGAGGTTTTCTGAAGAGAAACCACGCATAACCAGCCAGTTCTGCTTCTGACGCAGGATTGTGGCAGTTTTTATATCGTGCATTCTTGTCGAGGCTGCCATACGCATGAGCACATGATGAGAGAGACCACGCACAACCAGGCAGTTCTGCTTCTGACACAAAGTTGTGCGGTTGACATGTCGGTTGGTCTGGGGCTGTTTCTCTGTGCTCCTTGGCGTGGTTCCTGCTGCAATGATGAGCACTGTGCCGCTCCAGTCTGAGTGTTTCTGAAGAGAAACCACACATAACCAGCCAGTTCTGCTTCTGACGCAAAGTCGTGCGGTTGACATGTCGGTTGGTTTGGGGCTGTTTCTATGTGCTTCTTGGCGTGGTTCCTGCTGCAATGATGAGCACTGTGCCGCTCCAGTCTGAGTGTTTCTGAAGAGAAACCACGCATAACCAGCCAGTTCTGCTTCTGACGCAAAGTTGTGCGGTTGACATGTCGGTTGGTTTGGGGCTGTTTCTACGTGCTCCTTGGCGTGGTTCCTGCTGCAATGATGAGCACTGTGCCGCTCCAGTCTGAGTGTTTCTGGAGAGAAACCACACATAACCAGCCAGTTCTGCTTCTGACGCAGGATTGTGGTAGTCGTCATATCGTGCTTCTTGTCGAGGCTGCCATACGCATGAGCACATGATGAGCACTGTGCCGCTCCAGTCTGAGTGTTTCTGAAGAGAAACCACGCATAACCAGCCAGTTCTGCTTCTGACGCAAAGTTGTGCGGTTGACATGACGGTTGGTCTGGGGCTGTTTCTATGTGCTCCTTGGCGTGGTTCCTGCTGCAATGATGAGCACTGTGCCGCTCCGGTCTGAGTGTTTCTGAGGAGAAACCACGCATAACCAGCCAGTTCTGCTTCTGACGCAGGATTGCGGCAGTTGTTTGTCGTGAATTTCGTCGGGCTTGCTATAGGTATGGGCACATGATGAGCACTGTGCCGCTCCAGTCTGAGTGTTTCTGAAGAGAAACCACACATTACCAGCCAGTTCTGCTTCTGACGCAAAGTTGTGCGGTTGACATGTCGGTTGGTTTGGGGCTGTTTCTATGTGCTCCTTGGCATGCTGTGCCGCTCCAGTCTGAGTGTTTCTGAAGAGAAACCACGCATAACCAGCCAGTTCTGCTTCTGAAGCAAAGTTGTGCGGTTGACATGTCGGTTGGTTTGGGGCTGTTTCTATGTGCTCCTTGGCGTGGTTCCTGCTGCAATGATGAGCACTGTGCCGCTCCAGTCTGAGTGTTTCTGAAGAGAAACCACGCATAACCAGCCAGTTCTGCTTTTTGTGCAAGTGCAAAGTTGATGCCACGCACAACCAGTTCTGCTTCTGACACAAAGTTGTGCGGTTGACATGTCGGTTGGTTTGGGGCTGTTTCTACGTGCTCCTTGGCGTGGTTCCTGCTGCAATGATGAGCACTGTGCCGCTCCAGTCTGAGTGTTTCTGAAGAGAAACCACACATAACCAGCCAGTTCTGCTTCTGACGCCGGATTGTGGTAATTGTCATATCGTGCTTCTTGTCCAGGCTGCCATACGCATGAGCACATGATGAGCACTGTGCCGCTCCAGTCTGAGTGTTTCTGAAGAGAAACCACGCATAACCAGCCAGTTCTGCTTCTGACGCAAAGTTGTGCAAAGGACATGTCGGTTGGTCTGGGGCTGTTTCTATGTCCTCCTTGGCGTGGTTCCTGCTGCAATGATGAGCACTGTGCCGCTCCAGTCTGAGTGTTTCTGAAGAAAAACCACACATAACCAGCCAGTTCTGCTTCTGACGCAGGATGGTGTTAGTTGTCGTGTCGTGCTTCGCGTCGAGGTTGAGGTTGCCATATCAGGCGGCAGTTGTCACACGCTGCTCGTCGTTGGGCTTGCTGTAGTGATGAGCACTGTGCCGTTCCAGTCTGAGCGTTTCTGAAGAGAAGCCTCGCATAACCAGCCAGTTCTGCTTCTGACGCAGGGTTGCAGCAGTTGTTTTGCCGTGCTTCTCGTCGTGCTTGCCATAGGGATGAGAGTGTTTCTGAAGAAGAATCACACAGACACACACACACACACATCCATCCAGTTCTGCTTCTTTATCGGGATGTGGTGTGATGCTTGGAGATGCTTGGAGTTGATCCTGCTGTAGTGACTGTAGTGAACACTGTGCGGCACAAGTCTGATTATGCCTGAAGAGTAACCACGCATATCCAGCCTTGTACAGTAGCGGTTGTCCTGTGCCGCTTGGCCTTAGGCCCGCGTTGGTGGTGAGCGCTGTGGCGCTCCGCTCTGAGTGCTTCTGCAATGCAGCCCAAGATAGCCAGCCAGTTCGGCTTCTGACACAGGATGCTGCGGTCACGTGTCGCTTGCCTCTGGGGTTGCTGCAAAGAGAAACCAGACGTTACCAGCCAGTTCTGCTTCTGACGCGGTGTTGAGTCTATGTTGGGCTTCAAGTTGGGCTATTGCAGCAACAAACACAACTCGTACGTGCTCCTGTAGCACTCTCATTGAAATATAACGAAAATTACCATAAATTTCGAACATCGGTTGATGATCATCTTCATATGAATGTATAACTAAACATATAAACTAACAACAGTAATAAGATTGCTTACATTCTATGATCTGTATAAGGAGATATAGATTATAAAATTTCGTTTCTATAGACAGAGCCTGGGACAGGGATATTTTCATAAATATCATGATTCTAATTCTGTCTGTTAAAAAGGCGACATCAAAAAAATATTTCTAGTGGATATTCTGATTTCTTGATGAATAAATAGGTATGTATAAATAGAAGAGAATTTCTTGGTATTTAAGCAATAATAAAAATATCTCTGGTCATTATAGAATTAGTCTGTATATAAAGAACAGAAAATTTTGCTGGTTATACGTGATCTTATATCTGAAGATCTATAAAACAGATTTTTTTTTATTAATTTGAAATCTATTGGTATATATTTTTTTCTATCTTATATAATTTTCTATGATTCTTCGTGAAAATTTCTTGCATGGTTATATCGATTGATATATGATTATAATTCTGGAAAATTTATTTTGACGAGCGCTTCTCTTTCGATATTAAGATTGAAGATTTTGATATGTTTAGGAAACCTTGTCGTCTAATATTTCTTAAATATTGCTCATTTTAATATCGAAATATATCGATATTTGAATATAATGAAATTTTCTTTTGATAGAATTTGATTATATATATTGAGAAATATTATTCTCTCTTCTCTCCCTTCTCTTTATGATCTTTGGTTATCTTAAGAAATATATTCCGATTTTCTTTCTATATATACGAAATTTGATACGAACAATAATTTATTTCTAGATAGGGAGATTCATATAGGTAAAATCGTTCTCCTTCCTTCTTCAAATGAGAGAAGAGAAATGAGGATAAAGAAAAGAGATAAATAAGATGATGAAAATAAGAAGAAAAGAAATGAAAAGATAGATTTATAATAAAAATATCGATCATTATATAAAATCTATGAATCCTTATATAAATCGAATAGATTTCATAGATATCGCAAATTAATAATGATAGTTATGAATTTTTCGAAATTCGAAATTGATAAGATTCGTAAATTTCTCATAGATATGATCATATATATCTTTATTGATATTTCTCGATATCTAAATCTCGTTTCATTCTCTCTCTTATCGCATCTATTTTATTTCTATTTAAAATTGAAATTTGAAAATTTTACGCTCTATTTTCAAAATAGCGTCAATTAATAAATATAAAAATAATGATATAAGATATGTAATCTATCTTAAACTTCGTTCTTTCGATTTTATTCTTAATTTGATCTTAATAAAAGAAATTTTATCGGATCTTAGGAATTACGAAAAATGTATTTATAAAAGATTTCCGAGATTTCGCGAGTCTTAAAATAATAGATTAGATAATAATTTCTATATTAATGATAAATATTTATCGATATAAAAT